GTGCACAAAACGCATGAACGCACCGGCTAGTCTGGTGCGCGTTGCCATTTATTAGAGAATGCTCCCGTCCGCACAAGTCAACGAGCTCAAACCCAGAAATCGGGCATGTGGTGCCCACGTACGGCCCGTGAAAGTTTTTTCCAGTAAGTTGCTAACTTAGACGCCAGGAAAACTAGAAAGCTGAAATTTTAAGGGGTTGTTTCCCGACAGTTCTGGCGGGCAGTCTTAATTTGTTTACCTAGAAGCATTTGCAGGAAAAACTGGTGCCGGTAGCGACAAAAAGTGCCGGGAGTCTGTCACGATTAGTTCTTGAAAGGAAAAATCGTGACAAAAAGTCTGTCACGATTTTTCCTTTCAAGAACTACAAAAGCTACACGGCTGAAATTTTGGTACCTTAATCTATATGCATGTACGGGCCCCATTCGCCAAAATGGGCGCTCTTACCCGCGTGGTACCCACGTACGGGCCCGTGAAAGTTTCTTGCGGGAAGTCGCTAACTCGGGAACCAGAAAAGCTAGAAGGCTGAAATTTTAAAGGGATGTTCCCCGTCCACTAAGTCTCAATGGTCTCAAGCCCATACACCGGGCTTGCATGGTACCCGCGCACGGGCCCGCCAAAGTTTTTTTCGGGTAAGTTGCTAACGCAGGAAACTGAAAAGCTAGAAGACTGAAATTTTGAATAAATGTTCCTCGTTCAAGTAGGTATTGACGAGCTCAAACCTAGCGCCCGGGTATGCGTGGTACCCAAGTACGGGCTTGTAAAAGTTTTTTTCGGGCAAGTTGTTTACTCAGGAACTTGAGAAGTTATAAGACTGTAATTTTAAGGTAATATTCCTCATCCACGTAGGTATTAATGATCTCAAACTTAACCCCCGGGTATGAGTCATTCCCACGTGTGGGCCTGTGAAGAGGAACTGAGAAGCTAGAAGACGGGAACTTTGAAGGGATGTTTTCAGACAGTCCTGGCGGCCACTATGAAATTCTTTTAGCTAGAAGTATCTCCTAAAAAAAAAAAAACAGTGCCATTAGCGACAAAAATCTGCTGGGAACTATACAAAAAACGCATCATGGCGCGAGCAGCCCGTGCGTTGGTAAAATTTTTATTTTGGGATTATCAAATCCTCTTGTATCATTCAGATCTGCCAAATCTACCAGGTCTGTATCAGGGTCCCCGAAATAACCTTTGCAATTATCTTCACGAAAGTAAGGGTCATCGGGACCGCATTAATGTCGTTGCCGTACCGCAACTGTGGAGAATTCTTGCGCTTTACTAACTCATCAAATTGTTTGCCAGGAAATGCCCATATTCGGGGATTTCCAGAAGTCCCGGTGGTACTTTTTCATGCCATTTATCAAATTACATTATTCATTTAAATCATTCCTTCAGTGTGCAATGGACTGCGGTAAATCAGTTTTATCATTAGTTCTGCCAGGCTTCCTTGTTGATTTCTTCGTCTTTTTCTCACTTCTGGCTTCCCCGACCGCGTGCATCAAACTCTTAAAGAGCATTTAATCAGTAATCATTTTGTTATCTCACGGCTGTTATCAGATTTAGAATTTTTACAGAATTTTCGCTGGCAGTTGTCGCTAACTCAAATTTGGCTAAATAATACTCATTTTCAACTGCAAAAACAAAAAAAAAATGACCAGCTCCGTCGTTCCAGTTAATTTGTTAGACTTGACCTTATCAGGAAGCTAGACAACGTAGTGACTTCTGTGACTACTCCTTAAGCTTATACTGGTCATTTATGTCTTATCCACTCGCTTCGACCATATTTCGAACTTGAAAAATGCTTCCCACTTGCTTTTCAAAGTTCTCAAGAAAAAATTATTGATCCAAGGAAGGTTGGTGACGGTAGCCACTGTTTAATAAATGGCAACGCGCACCAGACTAGCCGGTGCGATCATGCGTTTTGTGCAATTCAGCCC